GTTTCTAGGCAGCTGTTCGTAAAATATTTCAAGAGTAAGAGCCAGGCTAGACTGGTCCACCGCCGGGCTCTTCGCCTACGTCCCACAGGAATCCTGCAGAGTGGCCTCCTAAGGGTTAAAATGACCTCAGCTGGATTCCTAGAGAGGAAGGTAAAAGGCGAGGCGGTCAGTCCTCCAGAGCGAAGGCCCCTCCACCCAACTCTCTTCCTGCGGGACTTTCCTGGAGGGACGTGCCTTGGCCGCCCTCCTCCCAAGCGCAGCGTCGGTGGCTCCTCGCGGGATCCGGTGAGCCCCTTCCTCGCCCTAGAGGCTCCAGTTGTGGGTCTGAGTCTGCAGGGCTGAAAGGCGGGTGGGGGGCGGGGACGACAAGAGGCAAGGCAGGAAAATACGACGGGAAGGGAAGGGAGATGCCCAGGTGACAACTGTTTAAAAAGGGAGGGGGGCACCTATAGGAAGAGCAAAGCTATTTCAGCCCATGGCTGAAGATGCTTGTGCATCTTTCCTGAGTGTTGGGTGTGTGCACCGCAGAAGCTCATTCAAGCTCATCGCAGGAAGCAGCTGGTTAGCAGAAAATAAATAATAATAATAATACAGTGGTACCTCGGGTTAAGTACAGTGGTGCCTCGCAAGACGAAATTAATTCGTTCCATGAGTTTTTTCGTCTTGCGTTTTTTTTCGTCTTGCGAAGCACGGTGTCGGGAAAGTTTTGGAAAAGCTTCAAAAAACACCAAAGTCTTCAAAAACCTCAAAAAAGGCTACCACACCGCGTGCTTATGAGTTGCTCCTCAAAGTCAAGTCGCAACTGTATTAACGGTTTTAAGAAAAAGGAAACAAACTCGCAAGACGTTTCCGTCTTGCGAAGCAAGCCCATAGGGAAAATCGTCTTGCGAAGCAACTCAAAAAACGAAAAACCCTTTCATTTTGCGAGTTTTCCGTCTTGCGAGGCATTCGTCTTGCGAGGTACCACTGTACTTTATTCAGTAACCTGAAACTGTTCTTAACCTGAAGCACCACTTTAGCTAATGGGGCCTCCTGCTGCCACCGCGCCGCTGCTGCGCAATTTCTGTTCTCATCCTGAAGCAAAGTTCTTAACCTGAAGCACTATTTCTGGTTAGCAGAGTCCTGTTAACCTGAAGCATCTGTAATCCGAGGTACCACTGTAATAATATTTATATGCCACCCATCTGACTGGGTTACCCTGCCGCTCTGGGCAGCTTCCCACAAATTAAAAACACAGCACAAATTGCCTTTACTAGCCCAACACCAACTATAGGTAAAGGTAAAGGTACCCCTGACCATTGGGTCCAGTCGCAGACGACTCTGGGATTGTTGGTGCTCATCTTGCTCTATAGGCCGAGGGAGGCTGGTGTTTGTCCCGCAAGACAGCTTTCCCGGGTCATGTGGTGAACCAGAGCAGCGCACGGAAATGTGTTTTACCTTCCCGCCGGAGCAGTACTTATTTATCTAACTTGCACTTTGACATGCTTATTTACTTTATTTATTTATTTATTTATTTATTTATTTATTCAAAATTATAACAAGACTATATTATCCAAAAACATATCATCTTTGTTGTCCCCCCCCATTTTTCCTCCCTCCCCCACAAAACCCACCCACCCCCACCCCAACTTCCCTCAGTTCCAGTCTTTGGTTTCTCTGAGACTGCTGTTTTCTGCATGTTACAAAGTTGTATATAAATACAAAATATTTTAGCTGATTATTATCAATAGAAAGTTTGTGAATGTTTATTCAAAACCTGCAAAGGAGTCCAGTTCGCTTTGTTGCGTCTTCAGATACTTTGTAAAGGGTTCCCATTCATCCTTAAAGTCACAGTTATCCTTGTCCCGTAGCTTATATGTCAGTTTTTGCCAGTTCTGCATAGTCCATCAATTTTTCTTGCCATGATTCTTTAGTTGGGGTTTCTTCAGTCTTCCATCCTTGTGCTACAAGAACTCTCGCGGCCGTTGTCGCATCCATGAAGATGTTTTTCAACTTTTTTGGCAGGTCTTTTTTGGCACTCTTTGACGTGCTTTCAAACTGCTGGTGGGCAGTCTTTACTAGCCCAACACCAACACTTTATACACACATTTATTTATTTGCAATATGTTACGAGCAGCTTTCCCTCTCTGAGCCTGGACGGTTTCTTTGCTTATGAAGCCTTTACTGCGCCAAAGTCCGCAAGGCAAGAGTTTTCTTGCAAGTCTCTTGCAATGGAGTCCTGCGACTCTTCCTCAAAGGCGTCAGTTCCAATTGCTTCTCTCCAGAGTGCTCTACGCTCTCTTCCCTTGAATGCTGTAACTTGAGCCCCTTACCTACCCAGCCTGACTGTGCCAGTTCTGCCCAGCAATACTGCCAAGGCAGTCACAAAAGTGCCTTGCAGCTGCATCGTGGAGAATTAGCTCTTGAGTGGCTTTCCTTAACGTGCACGGGTTTCCTGCGTGTATGTTTTCTTCAGCTCCTCTTTTTATCTTCACAAGAGCCCCATGGGGTAGGGCTACACTAATGTAGCGTATGTACATAACCAACAGTTTCTTGTCTGTGTCAGGGACTGGAGCGTCTTTCCTCTCCTCTGCAAAGCCAGGAGGCCCCTGATTCGTGGGGCTTGGAGGATTTGAAGCAGGTGAGTTGATGCTTAGAAGTGAACTATCAACTGGACTTTGATTTCAAGTAGAACACCCCACCACCAAAAAAAAAGAAAAAAGAGAATTCATTAGTCACACAACCACACAAGGTCACTTACAGACATGGAAACCCCTGAAGTGTGAAGTGGATCTTTTCACAATGGGCATTACTGAAAAATTGTACCCTTTTAACCAAAGGCAGGAGAGAGAGGCCGATTGAAAGGAAGCAAACTGCTTTTATGAAAGTGTATTGAAAACAGTACATTAAAAGTCAACAAACAGTTGCAGAAATTTGGTTACAGGCTGAAAATGGAGCCTGTAAACTCTAACAGTGAACAGTCCTAGCCAGTGATACTTGAAAGAAATTTCGGAGCACAACTGGATAGAAATGTGGTGTGTTTTTCTCCAACGATGATACAGACAAAGAAAGGGAAAGAGAGAGAGGTGGACAAAGCCCTGGTCCAGTTAGGGAAATACTGGGACAGGGATATTGCAGTGAATAAGAGGAATAGAATATTCACATTAGAGAAGCAGTGTACTAGAGATCTCAGATACAGGGAAGCAATATGATTTTGTTTCCAGTAAACAACTGGAATATTTCTAAATGAATGTTAATATTTCTAAGTAAATCTTAAAGTAATCAGCTAAGATTCATTCAGCAGAGTGGCAGCTTTAATTCAAAACTTTTGCTAGGTAAGAAATAAAGCCAGCAGGAAACAAGAAAACAACATTCATCCCAATAATATTAAAGTCCAACAGCAAGAGATGACTAAAACCATTAAACCTACAAGCACAACTCAAAGGAAGGTCAGAGTGTTTCTTTCTAAAAGGGTGGTGAAATATATTCTGTTGGTGTTATGCTGAGAGTTGTGAAATGCCATGGGTTTTCTTTTGTAGTATACTGAAGCTTGTGCGGTGATTAAATTTGTTAACCTTTAGGATACCAAAATCATTATTTTGTGCTATCTTACTTCATGTGTTCCTTCCTGGAGGAAAGAGGGTCCCTCAGCTCCTTAATCCAGCCTTGTATCTCTGCTTTTCAGGAGTCTGTAGCCCAGCTGGAGGCATCCTTGGAACAGTAAGAAAGATGGAAGACCAAGACTCAGCCGGCCTGGATGGGGAGAAGACCCTCAGCTTAGATGTGCGGCGCCAGCAATTCAGAAAGTTCTGCTATCATGAGGCCGAGGGACCAAGAGAGGTTTGCAGCCAACTCCACCACCTTTGCCATGAGTGGCTGAAGCCAGAGAGATGCACAAAGACTCAGATCCTGGACCTGGTGATCCTGGAGCAGTTCCTGACCGTCCTTCCCTCAGAGATGGAGAGCTGGGTCAGGGAATGTGGAGCGGAGACCAGTTCCCAGGCGGTGGCCCTGGCCGAAGGTTTCCTCCTGAGCTGGGCAGAGAACAAGAAGCAGGCAGAGCAGCAGGTGAGAGAGGGTTTCATCCTGCTACTTCCAAGGGGCCCAGAATGTGAATCAATCACTTCCTGGAAATCATCAGCAGAGGAATGTCCCAAACTCCTCTTGACATTTTGCCCTTTTCTCTGATTTTCTGCCCATTCACTGTCTTCAATATCTTCATTGTTGTTTTCAGGTAAAGGGTCTCTTTGCAAAGGTGGCAGCTAATTTCACTGAGAGAGAAAGTTCTTCACTGGATGTGAAAGAGTGCTTCCTGCTAAGGAGAAACGTTCTGGAGAGCAGTGGAGGTGCTGCATTACTCAGTAAGAAATGAACCTGAACTTCCTGAAATGTATGGGATCTTCTTACATTCTCCCGAAACTTTCAGGGGAAGATGCTTCCCCCATCATTTTCCATAGATGAAAAACGAGTGGGTTTCAGTGTTTGAGGCCTCAAGCCATGAGAACAAATTAATAATAATAATAATAATAATAATAATAATAATATTTTAATTGTATCCTTCCCATCTGGTTGGGTTTCCCCAGCCACTCTGGGCGGCTTGCAACATATAGAACACAGCCAAACATCAAACATTAAAAAACAAGATATCCTATGCCAGCAACAAACAAACCAATAAATCAATAAAACCAATAATAATCATAATAACAATAATAAACAGTTTACAGTTATACCCAAATTAAAGTAACTGCCAACCTCAACTAAACATTTAACCAACACCAACCCAACAAAAATGAAACAGAGGAACCAAAATTAGAACTGTTTAAAACAATCAAAAACATTTTAGCCAGTTGCCCAAGAGTTGTTCCAGCAATGTCCCTCCAGCCTCCCAGGAGCCTTTTAGCTGTTCAGGGTGAGTGTGGGCCCCGTCCCCTAGGCCAGGTGGAATTGGGCCTTGCATTTTCATATATTATGTTAAGATAGCCAGTGTTAATGTTAATTAGATAATGTCAAGGTAGATAAAAAAAATATGTACACTGGATGAGACATTTTGTAAAGTCAGTGTGTCCTACCCTGATACATGTCACTTAGCCCCTGAGACAAGCGCGTGCTACTTCCTTCCCACCATCTTTGTCTCTCAGGTGAAGAAATTCTGGTGGCACGACCTGCTCAGCCGTCTCCTGTTCGCAACAGACAGGAAGCAGTTGCTGTGGCACCAGATCAGGTAGGGGGAAGGGTCATTGTGGGGAGCGACGTTAGGGGGCAGCCTCGGTTCCTCTGTCTTCTGCTCACCTCTGTAGGCCAATGTAAACTTCTCTCTTTGAGTTTGTCAAACTGCCCGCTAGGGAGGCTGTGGCTGCCCCTCAAGAAGGTTTAAGTTCTGCAGGATAATACTCAGGTCATCTTACTCTGAGGCGTATTCTGGATTTTGCTGGTAAATAACATAAAGATAAGGAACGCGGGTGGCGCTGTGGGTTAAACCACAGAGCCTGGGACTTGCCAATCAGAAGGTCGGCGGTTCGAATCCCTGCGATGGGGTGAGCTCCCGTTGCTCGGTCCCTGCTCCTGCCAACCTAGCAGTTCGAAAGCACATCAAAGTGCAAGTAGATAAATAGGTACCGCTCCGATGGGAAGGTAAACGCCGTTTCCGTGTGCTGCTCTGGTTCGCCAGAAGCAGCTTAGTCATGCTGGCCACATGACCCGGAAAAACTGTCTGCGGACAGACGTCGGCTCCCTCGGCAAATTAAGCGAGATGAGTGCCGCAACCCCAGAGTCGGTCATGACTGGATCTAATGGTCAGGGGTCCCTTTACTTTTAACATAAAGATTACCTACAACAAGACAACTATTTCCTTTTCTCTCAGGGTCCCGTGTTGTTTGAGGAGGTTGCTGTGGATTTCACAGAGGAGGAGTGGGCTCTGCTGGATGCTGACCAAAGGGCACTGCATAAAATAGTCATGGAGGAGAATTGTAGGAATGCTTTCTCTCTTGGTAAGGTTCCTTGTTTTCAGAGTTGATGACAATAGCATTTAGAGCCTAAAATAATGGGCCTGTTTGCACATTTCCTCTGTTTTAGCACCTCCGTTCCCTTTTTTCCAGTCTAGAAGGTTTTCTCTATTTTTGACTGTTTAATTTCCATTTAACAAAAAACCACAAGGAGGCAAGATGGTAAAATGGCAACAAAATGTATATAACAGTAAGCTGTAAGAAACATGAAGAGTTGCAATGAGTTCAAATAGAGATAGAAGCCATTGCAGAAGGAAGACACCTGCCATAGCCTACCTAACCTACCTAACACCACCTAGCCTAGTTTTGTCTGCTGTGGCACAGAATCTCTCCAGTGTGTGAAGCTCAGATCACTGACGGGCTTCTTCCAAGATCCTTTAACTGTAGAATTCAATGACTGAACTACAGTCGTACCTCGGAAGTCGTACACAATCCATTCCAGAAGTCCATTTGTCTTCTGAAACATTCGGAAAGCAAAGCACGTCTTCTGATTGGTTGCAGGAAGCTCCTACAGCCAATCGGAAGCCCCCTCAGATGTTCAGGTTCCAAAAGAATGTTCGAAAACCAGAACGCTTCCTGTTTTTGATCGCTTGGGAGCTTGAACGTTCGACTCCCAGGGTGTTCGGGAGCCAAGGTACGACTGTAATGAGCTTCTGCCAAAAGTGAATACACGTGATTATTCCATGGTTTGCCCATTCCATAACCCTGTGAGTTAGCCTAGTCTGAGAGAGAGTGGCTGCCTGAGATCCCACAGGGAGCTTCATGTCTGAGCTGACAATTTTGCTCCGGTCTCCATGGATCCAATAGAATAGAGTATAGAACCCTGGCTGGCAGTTATGGTGTTAAAAGTGGCAGATAAATGGATGATAAGACCTGCTTTGCAGCTAAGATCTTTCCATTCCTCCATTATCACAAGCTTTATGTGTCACTGCCAGTTAGTTTTGGAACTCCATTTGTACCTCAGGTTCTCAACAGTTTCCTCTCTTCTTTGTGGCAGGACATGAATGGAAAACCAAAAATGAGGGAGAACCACATGGGGTGTTTGCAGAATGGGACACATGTATACAGAGAGAAGCTCAGAGAAGGAAACCTGAAAGGGAAGAAAAGGGGAGGAATAAGTCCCCTTCTTCTCATGGCAGTGTGAGCCATCAAATCCTGGTCCAAGAAAATACGCAAAAGAGAAAAGAAGCAAGTACGCGCTTTGTATATTGGAGAAGTTTCCCTTCTAAATCAAGACTGAAAACTCATTACAAAATCCACACAGATGAAAAACAATTTAAATGCCTGGAATGTGGAAAGAAATTTTCACAAAAGACACATCTCTCTATTCACCAAAGAGTTCACACAGGGCAGAAACTGTTCAAATGCTTGCAGATTGGAAAGAGATTCCGTCAGAAGACTGCTCGTCAAAGAACTCACACAGGGGAGAAAGCATATAAATGCTTAGTGTGCGGAAAGAGCTTTCACCAAAATTATGTCCTTTTTACTCATCAGAGGATCCATACAGGGGAGAAACCTTTTAAGTGCTTAGCCTGTGGAAAGAGCTTCTGTCAGAAGATACACCTCACTACTCATCAAAGAACCCACACTGGAGAGAAACCGTATAACTGCTTGGAGTGTGGAAAGAGCTTCACTCGGAAGACGAATCTCACATCACATCAAAGAATTCACACAGGGGAGAAGCCATATAAATGCTTGGAGTGTGGAACAAGCTTTCGTAACACTTCTACCCTTGTTAATCATCACAGGATCCATACAGGGGAGAAAGCGTTTAAATGCTTGGAGTGTGGAAAGAGCTTCCGTCAGAAGAAAAATCTTTCTGCTCATCAAAGACTTTACACCGGGCAGAAAGCATATAAATGCTCAGAGTGTGGAAAGAGCTTTCATCGAAATTCTGCCCTTGTTACCCATCAGAAGATCCATGTAGGGGAGAAATTGTTCCGATGTTTGGAGTGTGGAAGCAGCTTCTTAAGGAAGACACATCTCACTACTCATCAGAGAATTCACACTGGGGAGAAACCGCATACATGCTTGGAGTGTGGAAAGAGCTTTTCACAGAAGATCCATCTCACCACTCACCAAATAATTCACACTGGGGAGAAACCGTATAAATGCTTGCAGTGTGGGAGGAGCTTCACTCGCAAGTCAAATCTCACTTCCCATCAAATAATTCACACACGGGAGAAGCCTTTTAAATGATTGGAGTTTGGAAAGTGTAGAAGCAGTCTGAATACGGAATGTGAGTCTGAGACAGCTGAACTCCGCTTTCAGATTAGAGCTAAACTGGCAAGGAATGGGGGATGGGGCATGGCTTGAGTAGAGTCCTGAGGGCAGAAGTGGTCCTACTTCAGGTGTCAGAAGCCCCCCCCCAGTTGGAACACCCAAGGCTGCCCCACTTGCCCTGCTGCTTCTGCCAGCGGTGTAAAGCACCGTCACTTGTGGCGTTGATTTTGAGCTCTCACCCCAAAATGGCACAATCATATCTGTAATCAGCACCAGTGGCAGTGATGCTTCTCTGCCAACATCAGAAGAAATAATAATAATAATAATAATAATTAATAAAATATATATTATTTATACCCCACCCATCTGGCTGGGTTTTCCCAACCACTCTGGGCAACTCCCAACAGAATATTAAAAACATGATAAAACATCAAACATTAAAAACTTGCGGGCGCCACCACCAAGAAGGCCCTCTGCCTGGTAGTATATCCTGTTTCTTAGGAAATGCTGTTTTCATGTGTTTCCCCCCAAATCTGCTTCCGCTGAGCATACTCCTAGAAGGATTTTAACTAGTCCGGAGAGGAAGAAGCTGAACAGAATTAGAATCCAGTCCCTACCTGCTCCGTGGTATCACTCCCAGAAAGTCTGCTTTAAGAAACGTACATTGGCTTTCTCTTTTAAAAGTGTGACAACACTGGTAAAAAGGATTATGTGATTTCCTCTGGGTTGCCAGGTCAAATGGAATTAGGACTCACCTTAAGTCCTCCCCTGTCTGGCTCTGCCATATCACACGGGTATATCTGAATTATGTGACATAGTCAAGTGAACCAGAGATGCTCTACGTCCACATCAAAACTCGCCCATCCTGGTGGGTCTTAGGTTAGGGCTGCACCCTGTGCTACTAATTCTCGGCCTAGCCTACCTCTCAGGGTTGTTGTAAATATTAAAAAGGCACAGGGAATACAATGTACACAACCTTGACCTCCTGGGAGAAAAGCAAAATAGAACGATACAAAAACTGTGCACTTTCAGGCACAGAGAAAACATTTAGTCCAGCCTGATAAATAAAAGAACTAGCCTTGTGTTAAAGTTCAGTCGTTGGGCAGGATTGTGTGTGCCCTTTTGTAATATGCATATTTCCTTGATAGCTGTTAATTGATTTTATTTCTCACCAATATTGTTTTCCATCTATAAATTGTTCTCTGGTCTGTCACTCATACATTCCTTATATTTCAGCTGTTGCTGAGCTTGCATATTTTCACCAGTTTTGAGCTTTGATATAAATAAATCTGTCCAATTTCTTTTATTGTTGTCCAGACTCTGCTTCTCTTTCCTTGCTGTTTTTTTTCTTTAAAAAAAAGATTTTATGCAGAAACAAGGCAAATGTAAAAAGCACTAATAGTCAGACTACAAAAATAGAGACTGCAGAGCTTTCCAGCGTTCCACAGGTGTCTCTGGTGTCTGTATTGTCAGTGGGTCTTGTGTCCGTCTTAGAAATCTATGCCACCAGGTGGCAAGAATCGCCTTCATGGTTACAACTTGTGACCAAGCCATCTTCTGCCACTCACTCGTTTAGGCTGCCCCGCGTTCTTGGATTTCCGGTTTTCTGGAATGACCAAGTCAGGCATACTCTTTTTTTACTTTAACGCTTCTCTTCCAAGACCTGTGAGTGTGTGTGTGTGTGTGTGTGTTGTTTGTTTTTGTGTGTAGGTGTGCACACTTGCCTATGCAGCTGTTTAAAACTCTCTTGACTTGCCAGTCGCTGGAATTATTATTTTGCATGGGTGCAGGCAGTGGGAGACAGCCCCCCTAAATCAAGTAAATAAATAAAAATGCTAACTAGAAGTAGAAATTGTGAAAAGATTTTGAGAGTTTTTTTCTGAGCACTTGGGGGTCAAAAGAAAATAATTTAAAACAACTGATGGCCATCTGTCAGGGATGCTTTAATTGAGATTCCTGCATTGTAAGGGGGTTGGACTAGATGACCCTCGGGGGCCCTTACAACTCCACAATTCTATGAACTGTGGTTGAGATGTTTCTTTCTGAATCTGCTAGACCTAGGAAGATTAACAGGTGGGCTTCCTGCTCTCACCCCCAACATAAATCCTGGCTACGCCCACGTTAGTTTGCACCATTTATAAACGGTGGTTTCAAAGATCACCAGTGTTGAAGCAATGATTCTTCAACATCAACTTTGTTGGACTGATCATGATGTGTAGATGCCTGATTATCATCTTCCAAAGCAACTACTGTATTCTGAACTTAAAAATTGAAAGCGTAATGCTGGTGGTCAACGAGAGGTTTAAAGACTGTCTCAAGGCAAATCTCTTAAAAATGTAGTTATAAACACTGACAACTGGGAAACACTGCCCTGTGAGCTTCTTCCAGTACACTGATAGTAGTTCGCCTGTCCTCCCAAGTGATGTGTAAGGTTTTTCAGAGACACCGTTGATGGAATCTTTCGAGAAGTTGGAGATGGTGTTTGTAAGTGGTCCATGGTTCACAAGCATACAGTAAGGTATGGGCACCACAATTCAAGAAAGACACTGACAAACTGGAACGTGTCCAGAGGAGGGCAACCAAAATGGTCAAAGGCCTGGAAACGATGCCTTATGAGGAACGGCTAAGGGAGCTGGGCATGTTTAGCCTGGAGAAGAGGAGGTTAAGGGGTGATATGATAGCCATGTTCAAATATATAAAAGGATGTCACATAGAGGAGGGAGAAAGGTGGTTTTCTGCTGCTCCAGAGAAGCGGACACGGAGCAATGGAGCCAAACTACAAGAAAGAAGATTCCCCCTAAACATTAGGAAGAACTTCCTGACAGTAAGAGGTGTTTGACAGTGGAATTTGCTGCCAAGGAGTGTGGTGGAGTCTCCTGCTTTGGAGGTCTTTAAGCAGAGGCTTGACAACCGTATGTCAGGAGTGCTCTGATGGTGTTTCCTGCTTGGCAGGGGGTTGGACTCGATGGCCCTTGTGGTCTCTTCCAACTCTATGATTCTATGATTCTAAGGTTGGAAGAACAATGGCTTTGTAAACAAGCATTTTGGTTTCCCTGCGAATGTCCCGGTCCTCAAACACTCTGCACTTCATTCGGGAGAAAATCGCACATTTATGTAAACACATTTATGAAACACATTTATGTAACAGGTGTTAACGGAAAAATCCGAGGGCTCCCTTGGGCAAAAACAAAGACACCAACCAGGATAACTTGGAGCAAAACAGCAGCCTGTAGGCTTGGCCTTCATTGAACTGTTGCAGCAGGGTGCTCCCCTCACTTGGAGGAGAGAGGAAGGACCCACAAAAATGGTGTGCAAGGCCTTATAAAGACTTTTTAAATTGCCACCCTGTAGATCAAGACCACCCCCAGAAACATACATTACAGAAAGGAGGGGTTGAGGGAGGAGTTGTGGTGGTAACCTGAGTGTCCTGTCACCTGGCTGGCTCCCCCTTTCCTCCTCCCCATGAGTACTTTCCAGGTGACAGAGGGGAGTTTGCAGTTTCCTGCCCCCAGAGGGAAGAGCTGATTATTGTCCTTTGTTCCACTCCATGCTGAATCCACTCCCATATGCAAGTTATTTGTGATCTTGATGGTCTTCTGTCTAGGACCATCAGGGTCGGCATAGCAACTGGGCAGGGCTCCTGTGGATGTGCTGGGATGCTCAAGGGATTATGGCTGCCCTGTATCAAACCTTCCCCATTTTGTAGTCCTTCCTTCATGGAGTAAAAGTGGAACAGTGCCAATCCGATGTATGGTTGATTTTCTATGACTTTATAACAGACGTGTAGCATATGTAGTGTGTGAGTGTGAGTGTGTGTGAAGTTTGTACAAACTGAATGATATTTTTTTTTGGGGGGGGGGTTTCCTGCGACACAGGCAAACCTGTTTAGGGAAGTTTTTAATGTCTGATGTTCTGTTGTGCTGTTGGGAGCTGCCCAGAGTGGCTGGGAAAACCTGGCCAGATGGGCAGGGTATAAGCAATAAAGTAGTAGTAGTAGCAGGTCAAATCTGTGTCCAGGGCAGCTGTTTACCAGCTCCATCTGGTACGTAGGCTGAGACCCTATCTGCCTGCGGACTGTCTCGCCAGAGTGGTGCATGCTCTGGTTATCTCCCGCTTGGACTACTGCAATGCACTCTACGTGGGGCTACCTTTGAAGGTGACTCGGAAACTACAACTAATCCAGAATGCGGCAGCTAGACTGGTGACTGGGGGCGGCCGCCGAGACCATATAACACCAGTCTTGAATGACCTACATTGGCTCCCAGTACGTTTCCGAGCACAATTCAAAGTGTTGGTGCTGACCTTTAAAGCCCTAAACGGCCTCGGTCCAGTATACCTGAAGGAGCGTCTCCACCCCCATTGTTCTGCCCGGACGCTGAGGTCCAGCTCCGAGGGCCTTCTGGCGGTTCCCTCATTGCGAGAAGCAAAGCTACAGGGAACCAGGCAGAGGGCCTTCTCGGTAGCGGCACCTGCCCTGTGGAACGCCCTTCCAGCAGATGTCAAAGCGATAAACAACTACCTGACATTCAGAAGACATCTTAAGGCAGCCCTGTTCAGGGAAGTTTTTAACGTGTGATTTTACTGTATTTTTGGTTTTTATGGAAGCCGCCCAGAGTGGCTGTGGAAGCCCAGCCAGATGGGCGGGGTATAAATAATAAATTATTATTATTATTATTATTATTATTATTATTATTATTATTATTATTATTATTATTATTATTATTATTATTATAATAGTGGTATCTGAGACGGACTAATATCTGAGACCTCCAGGTATAGGGCAGTATATAAATTCAATAAGTAATATTGACAGACTGTCTCTTGCGGCGGCAGCAGCATAAGCCAACATTTACCTGCTGCTCTTAAGTGAAAAAATCTGGAGGGGGGGAAACTGCCTCTGGCACATGACATCCCAGGATCGCATTCTGCAGCATGAAGCCTTT